TAACCCAAAGCAGCCCTGTGGCCCGCGCTGCCTGGAAGCTGGGGGCTGCCCACATGGCTCAGGTGCTGGTCCTGCTACCCCACTTCCAGAAGCAGCCTAACTCTGAGTGCTTCGGCGGGGCAAGTGCTCGCCTGGGATCTCCAGTCTCTGGACTCCCGTCATAGGAGGATGGGGGAAGATGTTCCTCAAATGAGGCTAACCGCAGCCATCTGAGAGTCTCCATAGCAATAGGCAAAGCTGTGTCAATCAGAGAAAATTTTAAATTTCCCGAGAAAAATATAACCCGGTGCTTCCTAAGCGTGGCAAGGTGGGCACTGGTGGGGGGGCAAAGGGATGGGTGTGGCTTCTCTCCCGTAGGTGACAGCAAGGCTGTGTGATTCTGGTCCATCCACGGTCCATCCCCACATGGTGGCCAGAGGGGATGGGCTTGGAAATGTGCACCAGAGCCTGACGGCCCCTTGCTCGACTACTTCAAGGGTGGCTCATTGCACATGCCTAGGGACCCCCACTCTCTGCCCTCTCCTCTCACCCTCCACCGCCACGGTATACCTACTAAGACGCTTTGTCCGCCGCTCAAAACAGTTTTTTAACTCGTCGATTTGGATGCCGTTTCGTGCTTCTGCTGTTTTTGGCTTCACCTCTTCCACATCAGCAAAACATTTCCCTTTGAGGACTTTTTTCATCTGAGAAAAGAAAAAAAATGCTGAGGGGATATTGGGTGAATAGGGAGGGCGGGGTACGGGGGTCATGCCAGTTTTGGTCAAAAACCGCTGAACACTCAGCACAGTGTGGGCAGGTGTGCTGATAAATCATCCATCATGAAATGGGGAGATTTGAAAGAATCTCTAAAAAAATAACTGAAGCTGCACACAGGCCCTCACAACAATGCTAGCTGGTACACTGATGCCGATGGTTTCCTAGAACACTTACCTAGCGGGGGAAGCCTGTACTACAAGGGGGCCATCCTCCAAAAGATAATTCTGGTTTTTTGGGGGGGGGCTGGTCTCACCTCATATGGAAACTGAGGCTTAGCAGAACCCAGGTTCTCACTCATGGCGAAGCTCTGGCTAACTCCCAAGGCCAAGACCTTAGCCTATCTGCCACTCAGCTGCCCATAGTGGATGCCAGGCACACCACAGCCCTGATCCATTGCAAAGCCACCTGGGCTGGTCCAACCAAAGAAAGTACAGCATTGACTGGGCTCTGTTCTTCCCAAAGAATCCAAGGCAGGAACGGGCTGAGTAGTAACAGAGGTGGGAAAAATCAGGGAGTGTGATGTGATTACTGGCAGATATCAAACAGAACAGTCAAGAGCTGGAGCATCATTTGGGGACCAAGCTGTGATTTCTAAAATTGGGTCGGTCTAAATCAGTATTCCCTGAGGTAAACGACCCTGTCGTGAGCCCGGCAACCTCAAGGACTCCAGGCTCAGGCGGCTGGTTCAATAAAGGAGGAATTCTCTGCAGTGGCGGTACACACACACTCACATGCATACACACACTCGTACACACACCCACACTCCCACAACATACTCTCATTCACACATTCTCACATTCACATGCTCACATACATCCACACAGACATACTGTCACATACCCACAAGCACACACACATACTCTCATTCACGCACACCCACACTCATACACACACGCTCAATATCACATACTCATCCACACAAACACACTCACATACATGCTGTCACAGTCACACCCAGGCACTCATACACACATACCCATTCACACACATTTACACTCACTCTCATAACTTTTATACTCATACACACACTGTTCACTATTACATACCCACATGCACACACTCATAGACACACACATTCTTACACACTTATACTGATACACTCTCTTACACACATATGTGGTCGCACACATTCACATCCACACCACATATGTGCATTTATCCACATATACACACTATCACACACACACCATATACTCACTATCACACACATACACACATTCACACACACACTGGTGAACCCACACACTCACATAGATATTCACACTCACATGTGTGCATGCCCTGTTCCCTCATCTGCTTCCAGCCTTTCTCACCCCCTGACCTAACGCATCCCACTCATGTCTGCTCTCTATCTGCTTTCCTGGGATGGAAGCGCTGTGGTGGCCACAGGGACTTGGCCATCTTCACTGCTGAAGTGCCTAACCCAGTGCCTGGCACTCGGCAGGTGATCAGTGAGCATTTGTGGAAAGAATGGATGGATGAATGAATGAATTAACTAGCAAATGAATGCATAAAGAACAAACAGAGCCTGGATCCCTCCTCAGCTCTTTATTGCCACGCAAAGGCTTGAATGAGAGTAAAAATATGATTGATAAGAAAAAGACAATTATACCGATGTGGTTTGGCATAGTTTGACATACAAAATAAAGACAAAATACCCTGGAAAACTAACATCTGCACATGACTAATCGCCTGTAAGTGGATGAGGAGGAGTTAAGTGTTGGAAGTGGGGCTCAGCCATATCCATTAGCGGTGATTCAGGCCAAGGCCCGCTGTGTGTCAGCAGCTGGAAGGCCCGGCCTGCCCCTGCTCTGCTGCCCCAACCCCGATGATCATGACGCAGATGCTGTCAGCCAGGGGTGACACGAACCAGGGTGGCATGTACACATGTCATCCCAGGTGTCTCTAATAGGCACCCACCAGGGATATGTGGGCTAATGGATGTACCTTTCTCTCCGAGGCAGCCTTCTGGGTGTGGTGGCTTTCCCCCTCGGTATCTGGAACATTCATCCTTATCAGCTGTGTTAGTTATATTTGCTTGGAACTTGTGAGCTGTAACCACTTGACATTTTCATAAGAAACTTAAATTTAGCAGCAGGAAAATGAGTTCATAACAGCGTCTGTAGCAGAGAAGCTTCCGGGAACTGGTTGCCACTATAGCCCCACTTTTGCCTGCTGGGCTTAGGTGGACCTGGCTGGCCACAGGGTCAGCCACCAGTCAGTGCTGCTAATGAGGCGTGGAGCTGAGTGCTTTGTGTGACTTCTTATTTTTATGTAGAGTAGGCAGATGTGACGTGGGGACGATTACAGAGAGGCCACAGACTCATGTCAGCGTCTCAAGTCAGATGCAGACAAGTCAGGTGGGCCGTTGCTGTGATGGTGGCCCAGGGTCTGTAATTAGCCGCTCATCCCTGGAGTGTTGCCTGTGTGAACGCCCTCGTTATTGCTGGACAGACTTATGCTACCAGGTGTCCTTCATTTAAAGTGCTTTGCCAGGTGGGCTGCTTGGCAGAGCTTTGTGAGCCTGCCTTCCGCAGGCAGGCAGCCTCTAGTGCCGGTTAACCCCTGCTCTGCCTGGGAGGTGACAGAATCTCTTCTTCCACCATCTAGCTGTGAGACATTGGGGACTTCATCTCACCTCTCTGTGTCTGTGTCTTTTTGGGAAAACAGGAGTTTCTGTCCATCCTTCTTGGGGAACCTGGGAGGATTAAACATGACAGCGTGTGAAACCCTGCCACTCTGGGGCCCCCTACCTTCTGGGGGCAGATGCTCCCTAATGCCAGAGCTCATGCTCTCATTGCCACAGCCTGGAGCCCTCAGTTGGTGGCTCTGACCAGTGGGAAGGTTGGAGAGGAACCCCAAAGGGAGTGAGATGTAGAGTGGGCGGGACCCTGGGGAGGAACCAGAGCCCCTGTGCTCCTCACGGCCTGCACTTCCATCTCTTCCCTGTCACCAGAACAAATGACCACAAACTGGGCAGTGCAGAAGGACAGAAATAGATTTCCCACAGTTGTGGAGGCCAGAAGTCTGAAATTAAGGTGTCGGCAGGGCTGTACTCACTCCCAAGTCCCAAGGGCCTCTCCCAGCTTCTGGTGGCTAGGCAGTCCTTGGCTTGTGGTTGCATCATTCCAACCTCTGTCTCTACCTTTTGTGTGTATCTGTGTCCAATCTCCCTGTGCCTCTCTTAAAAAGATACTTGTTGTTGTATTTAGGGCCCACCCTAAGTCTAGGATGATCTCGTCTTGAAATCCTTAATTATACCTGCAAAGACTCTTTTTCCAAATAAGGTCACATTCACAGGTTCCAGGGCTAGGACATGGACACAGCTTCTGTGCAGGCCACAATTCAACCCATTGTGCTGTCCCTTCTGGGAAGTCACTGTGAACCAGCTCTAGGCTGAAGAACATGGAAGTGTGATGAGGGAGAGGAAGATGGGGACGGTCCCAGGTTAATCTCAGGAAGGATTGATGGGTGTATTTGTAAACAAGGAAGGGAAGTGAGCCAGAATCTGCCACCCATCTTTGCAGAATGACACACAAGAGAGCAGAATTTCCATTTTAGTTTTGTTGTGTTCATAGGCTCAGTAATCAGGTAATAATCATGATCTAGAATAAAGGTGCCTCCAAAAAATTTATTATAGATTTCTTTTTCTCTTTTGCAAAAATGAAAATTGCTTTATCAGTGACATTATAAAATCAGACCATAAAATTAAACTATATGCTCATTTAAAAATGTTCAGACAATTCAAAAGGTAAAAAGAAAATAGTAAAAGTCACCTCAGATTCTGCCCCTGTGATGCCTGTGGTTGACACCACAGCCTGCTTCCTTCCAGATGCTTTTCTGGGCGTGGAGAAACAGGATTCCCCTCACCTGTCGACTTTATGCCCACTGCCACACCCTGAACTGTGGACCCAAATTCCTGGGGCAGCTGCCTGGGCTCCAGTGTGCAGCTGACCTCTTGTGTTTTTACCTTGTTTCTCCAGTTGGCACCGTGGCCAACCACGAGCACCTTCTCTCAGCCACGGGGCTACTGTGCCCCATAGGAAGAGTGGCCTCGTTGCCATCCCACGGTCACGTGTGGGACCTGCTACACCCACACCCATACCCACCCCAGGACTCTACACACATGGCTTTTCTTTTCAAGCTCTTTGCTGAGCGTCTCTTTGCCCCTCTGTCTCAGCGTGAAGCTCGTGCTTTCCTGGATGTTCAGCCTTGGGTGGTAACTGTGGGCTCTCCTGCCACAGGCCATGTTCGAGCTGGTCACTTCTGAGGCATCCTACTACAAGAGCCTGAACCTGCTGGTGTCCCATTTCATGGATAATGAGCGGCTGAAGAAGATCCTGCACCCTTCAGAGGCCCACATCCTCTTCTCCAACGTCCTGGACGTCTTGGCCGTCAGTGAGCGGTGAGGGCAAGGGGACAGCCACCCCTTGGGGCCTTCCTCTGTTCCCCAAAGTCAGTGATGAGTGCTCGTGACACTGGCTTCTCTACTTCCATTAAGTTTGGAATTTTCCATGATAAAATATAAATGAATAAAGACCTACACCCCCAAATCACCACTCCTCCCAGCAGGGTGGCCAGCAGAGTCCTCCTGGGCCCTTTCCCATCAGCACATGTGTTCTCAGTGTCCAACATGCAGCAGGGAGCTGGAGAGCCCGCTCGCCTGGGTTGGAATGACATTGACTTGGGCTCTCTTATGCATAAAACCCTCCTTTGGGGGGCGTCCATGGCAGTCTTGTGAACTGGTGGGAGGGTATCCATGTAAGCTGCTCCTAATCCTGGCAGACAGCCTGGCTTGGCACACGCAGGGCCCAGACCCTCCACAGACCAGTGCAGAGTGCAGTCCTGGATTTACGCATCCTCCTCTCCTCCTGGGCTGTGTTTGTGACTTATGGAATGGTTATGGGAACTGTGCTTCTGGCTGTGCCTGTGCAAAGCCCAGGCTGAGTTGCAGCAGGAAGAGGAGACATCTGTTCACCGAATCTCGTGAAGAAGAAATGAACTCCAGTCGCATTGCGAGGATAAAGGATCGTTTACCATTTCCACGGCAGGCTGTGGAGTCTTACAGCTAAAAGCTGCTTGGGGAGCACCTGGGCCAGCTGTGCTCAGATGTGAAACCAAGGCGAGGCACACGGTAGCCCCCCTCTGAGCAGTGGGGGTCCCTTCCATTTGCAGCCTCCCCCATCTCCTCATGGCAGCCCCATCTGGTAGATTTGGGAGGTGATGGCTGACGGGAGCCAGAGTAGCCTGTGAGTCCCGTTGGCCTCTGTGGCTGTGCTTCTTACTTGTGTATTAATTTACATCCTACTATAGAAAATTCCAAATATGCAGAAGTAGAGGCACCCATGTCACAAGCCCTGTGCACTGGTCACCAGTTTTAGCAATGGTCAACACTGGAGCCCATTCCCATCACCCAGGGAACCCTTCTGAAACAAATCCCTATGGTCTTATTTTATCCACAAACAAGTCGGTGTACCCCTAAAAGATTAGGTCAGTCAGGTACCTGTAATCTCAGCACTTTGGGAGGTTGAGGCAGAAAGATCTCTTGAGGGAGGAGTTCAGACCAGCCTGGGCAACATACTGAGACTCACCCCCCACTACCTGGTCTCTACAAAAAAAATTTTTTTAATTAGCCAGTTGTGGTGGCATGCACCTATAGTCCCAGCTATTCAGGAGGTTGAGGATTGCCTGAGCCTAGGAGTTCAAGGCTGCAGTGAGCCATGATCGTACCATTGCACTGCAGTCCGAGTAATGGAGGCCTCACCTCAAAAAATTAAAAAATTTTTAAAACATAAGCCTTTTTCCTCTCTCTCTCTGCCACCAATGCCATTTTTCACCAGAATAAAACAATAACTCCTTGAGGTGACCAAATATGCCATCAGCAGTCATTGGCATGGATGGTCACTGCATATGCTGGTTTGCCAGAGCCAGGCCTGCACATTTTCTGACTCTGTCACCCAGGCCCCCTCAACCCCATCTGCTGCCTCTTGCAGGTTTCTCCTGGAGCTGGAGCACCGGATGGAGGAGAACATTGTCATCTCCGACGTGTGCGACATTGTGTACTGTTACGCAGCCGACCACTTCTCGGTCTACATCACTTACGTCAGCAACCAGACCTACCAGGAGAGGACCTACAAGCAGCTGCTGTGAGTGTGCCTGGCTGCAGGAGGGGTGGGGGGTGGGAAGCAGGGCCTCACCAGGTTGGCAGCTTGAGGACCAGCCCAGACACCTTACATGGCGGGACCTCTGTGTCCTTGACCTCTGCTTTCTCAAGGTCCTATGGGCCACAGGAGTCGGCCAGGCTGGTGATAATATCCAAACCTGGCACGTCCCAGGCATTCTGGTGTCACTAGAGAGGTGTCACTAGGGTCATTAGAGAGACACCACAACGGAGTCAGCCATAGCACCCTCTGGACCTGTGTCCAGAATGACCAAGCAGAGCTCTGTGAGGTTAGAAAAGAGATATGGAGTCAAGCGGACAATTCGAGGCCCAGGGCAGCAGAGAAATGGGTTTGAACTGGTGACAAGGGCAGGGACAGGGTGAGGAGGAGCCTCCTGGTGGCTATCCAGTGGCACCATTGAACATATTGCTGATCTGCCCATTTTGCACACTTTCTTTGAGATTTCAGCCAACAGGATAATTTTTCAGCCAACTCGCCTCTTTTGAATCCTTCAAATTGATGTGTCAGGCTCCAGTGACTGGATTTCGCCAGGGAGGCCCTCTTGGTGCCACACGGAAGCATCAGAGTGCGTTTTGAGTAGCAACGTGAACGCTGTACTTCCCTGGCTTTTCTGTTAAGCCACGGACTTAATTGTGGACGTTTTCAAACTTGAGTATTTGGATGTTTGGATGTTTTAACTGTCAGTGTTTGGAGATCAGATTTTGATCTTCACTCAGGTTGCTACTTTTAGGGATAAACATTAAGATAAGCATCTAGCGTGGCGTGGCCCTTCACGTGCCGTGAGTGCAGAGTATCGAGGCTCTCCAGGCAGAGTGCCATCCCCGCCCATGAGCAGCGGGCCATGCCTTCCCTCCAGCAGCAGAGCCCCCGTCAGCTCTGCAGACCGGCCCACTGCCAAGCCCACCTGTCAGGAATAGCTCAGACTCTCCTGGCAGTGGTCTCCGGCCTGCTGCCTGTTCCTGTCACCATGTGGGTTTACCTTGCCACAGTTTGCGGCTGGGTAAAATCATCTCATTCATAGACTCGGCCTCACCAGGAATTCTTACCCTCCCACACACAACACATTTCATTAAGTCTTCATGGGCCAGGCATGTAAAGTCACTATTGTTATTTGACTTTGTACATGAAGAGTTTATTTTCCATTAAAGGAAAGAAAGAAAGAAATCGACATGTTTTCCGTGCCTGTGGGTCGTCTGGCTCCCAGGAGGCTGTCAATGGGAGGAAGTGCCTCCAACCTGTGCCTCCCACGAGCCCGGAGACCTATTCCGTATGTCTGTGTCCCCAGCCAGGAGAAAGCAGCTTTTCGGGAGCTGATTGCACAGCTGGAGCTCGACCCCAAGTGCAAGGGGCTGCCCTTCTCTTCCTTCCTCATCCTTCCTTTCCAGAGGATCACGCGCCTCAAGCTGCTGGTCCAGGTACTGCCTCTGCCCCTGACACATACAGGACTTTCTATGCTTCTCCGGCTCCACGTTGCTTCCTGTGGTCATTCCGGTGCTCTGGCGGCTTTCTAGGAAGTCCATTTGTTCAACAAATACTCATTAAGTTCCCCCTATGTGTGCCAAGCATGTTCCTGGACAGTAGGAGCTCAGCCCCTGCTCCCCGGGAGCCCCATTCTGGTGGGGAGAGACTGACAGAACCTGACCAGAAAGTGATCATGGCTGTAACGACAGTGAAATGGGGTAACACAATAAGGGAGACTGTCTGGCCACTGCCAGTTGGGGGAGTGAAGAAAGAAGAGTGACAAGCTGAGACTTGGCTGACAGGGAGGAGCTGGCAGGGGATGGTCAGAGGAAAGGGCATTCAACGTAGAGGGAAGTGCTGTGCGGAGGCCCTGGGGCAGCAAGGTTCACGGACAGAAAGGCCAGTGGTGAGCTTGGGAAATGTGATGGGAGGGCATGTGGAGATGGAGACAGAGGCACCTCCGCGGGCCTGAGGAGCAAGTAGGTCATTAAGGACGGTCCTCAGTGTGACAGAGTCACTGGATTGGGTTGACGTTTGTAAGAGCTCTTGAGGCTGCTCCAGAGGGTGAGTGGGGAGGGCAAGAGCAGAAACTGGAGAAGGCGTGCCACTGGCCTAAGGGGTGGAGTCAGGGAGTGGAGACTCTGGAGGGGAACAGGGAGTTGAATTCGAGTGACCCCTTGGCCTTTCGCTTGAGCAGCTTGGGGCCATGACTTAGATCCAGGAGATCTGGGGTGGGGCGGGGGCGGGCTCATTGTGGACCGAGCTGAGTTTGAGATGACCTTGAGCAGTTGAATATCCAAGGTCAAGGTTAAAGGAGATGGCAGGGCAGAGACCACTAAGAAAGGAGAGAGAGGGGTTTGAGACTCAGCCCTGGGATGCAACCAGGCCCGAGATGGAACAGCAGCACGGGAAGAGGGTAACTGAGATTGCTGGGGCCACGGGAGCCTGGCAAGGGTGGGGTTTCCTGAAAAGGGAGATGCCAACCAAGCCCAGAGAGGCAGCCCAGGCTCTGGGGGGAAATGAGCTGAGATAGCTGGGAGCCACACATTAGGGGAGGTCTGAGATCAGACAGGCGGGAGTCTGAAGACCAGGGGGCAGCTACCTCCAGAAGGGGTGGAATTAAAGGGGAGAGCCCCAAGCCCTGGGTGGAAAGGACTCAGGAGCATGAGACCAAAGAAACAAGCATCAGAAGCCCCCCCCCCCAGAGGGTAAGGGGCAGTAACACTGTGGGAAAATTCGGTGAGGACAGCAAACCCAATCCATAAGACAGTTTCCAACCAAAATCATTTTTTAGCTTGAAAAAACAGGAACAGAAGACAGTAACATTTCCTAAGTATGCAGAAAAAAATATTCTAAAGAAATTTATAGAAAGAGAGCATCTATGGATATATGAAAATTTTCACTTTTTAAAATGAAAATCACTAAACTAAGGTTAAAACTTACGTTGTCATTAGGGAAATGGTGGGCTGGGGATGGCAGGGAAGGGCTCAGAGGAAGGGGTGGGTGGGGGGTGTCTCAGGGAAACCTGCAAGACACTGGAACAGGCAGGGTGTTGGGGGTCACACCTGGGATAAGGCTGCCGTGGCAGCAGTACATGCCCGGCTAAAGAACCTACACTGTCCTCTGTTTGAGGCTACCAGTGTGACCTGGTAAGATGGAGCTTTTGTTTGGTGAGAAAAGATGGAGCCTGGACTGTGCTGTTCAGTGGGGAGATGAGTCCAGGAGTTGGGAAACAGTTAATGATGGGTTTGTTGACTGCCGTGTGTGGTGAGGGAGGAGTAGAGAGGTGGCTATGAGACTCACAGGTCTCTGGCATGGCTGCTGGACAGAGGCCAGCCAGGTGGCCACAGGGGAGACCTGGGCTGATGTCCCGGGAGACATTTCGTACAGCCGTTGCACGTGGCAGCTGAGAAGACAGGTGGGTGGTGCTCAGACACACCCAAGCCTCCTTACCGAACAAAATCGGATCAAAAATCATGGGCATGGTGAGGATTGCTAGACAGAAGGCACGTGAAGTTTAGAGAGCAATGCCCACTTCTCATTTACAGGTGAGAGCAATATGGGCAGGATTTTTTGTTAATTGAAGAAAATTGAACATTTGGAGAAAAGACACTTTCATCATGAAGACCAAAGTAACAAAGCCTTGAGGTCAAATGACAATCCCAGAGAGGAGGGAAGGGAAGGAAAGGCACTGGTGTTCCCTTCCCTGCAAGCATGTAGCTCCTCTTGGGGAAAGGGCTGGCCCTTACTGCTGGACCCTGCATCTGGTTCCTCTTGGGCTTTGGTCATTGTACCCTGAGGTGTAGGGCTCTGGCTTGAGACAGGATAGAAAGTGGTTAATCCTAATGGGAGATTTGGATTCATGGTTAGTGCATGCGTGCTGCAGCATCATGAGACTGAGCGGGTGCAGCAGGGAAGCTGCCACAGCAAAGCAGGGAAATGAAAGGAGAAAAGTTCCTAAAAGATGGAAGTTAATGCAGCCTTTCCCTGTGCTTAGAACATCCTGAAGAGGGTAGAAGAAAGGTCTGAACGTGAGTGCACTGCCTTGGATGCCCACAAGGAACTGGAAATGGTGAGTTGTGCCTCTTCTTTCTCTGTGTCCCAATAAACTGCTTTCTTCATGTAGACCCACCTTCCCTGTCCTGTCCCCTTGTATGTCTGTGTGTCTTTAGAAAATGCAAATTCACTTTAAGATTTGCTTTTGCAATCTGGAAAAATCGTTGGAGCTAAAAAAATACATCAGGTGTGGCTTGAGCAGAGCCTTCTCCACTACCTTCCCCCCTTTCCTAATCGACACCCCCACACTTGTCAATTAATGTACTAGGTGTGCATGTCAGGGCAGCAGTGTGGCCTTCAGGACACACTTTACCAGTGTGGAGCTCTGTAGCCTTCCACAGGCCCCAATCCCTCTCATCAGCCACCTGGTGCTGCTCATTGCAGATGTCTGGGGCCCATGCAGACCCCACTCTTGTCTTTGCCTGTTTCCCAGGATCAGAAGCAATCTCTTGTCCCTCCTAGGAGGCATGTTGAGGCTGATCCCACTCTCCTTGTGCCCTGGCATAGCTGTTTGCCCTAAGCCCCATCCCTCCACACCTCTTCTCCTGGTCTCTCAAGATCCATCTCCCGCATGTATCTCTATGAGAGGATTCCCTGGTGCTGCCCAAGAGCCCTGGGCTTTTCTTACCCGAGAGTGGAGAGACCATATCCTGATCCTCCAAGAGAGATGGTTCCTCCTGGAGGTTTTGAGCTGACCAGGGATTGTGTGGGAGGGGTCCGTGAGTACATTTCCATCCACGTGTGCTCTTCAAGTACTCTCTGGTGCATTTGGCCCCTGGCATTAGCTGAACCTGATGTCTGATTTTGGCAGCTGTGCTGGGACAATTCCAACATGCTGGTGACCCTGTCATGGTAGACAGCAGGGTGTGGGAAGTCTGTTTCACTTCTTTGTCACCCGTTGGCAGAAGCTTAGTGGAAGGAAGATGCCCCTGATAGTTGTTCTCAGCCACATGGGGCCACGAGGACTTCTTACCTCAATTCAGTCCTTTCCCACCTTGGGCTTCTCCTGCTCCTCACCCAGACCAGTCGGCTGCCAAAAATCCTCTGGCAGTTGTGCCCTGTGAAGACTGGGAAGAATGGCCCTCCTCTCTTGTGACTAGTCGGAGACAGCTTGGAGCCTCGATCAGGAGGGTCAGGGAGAGTCAGTGGCCTGTGAGCTGGTCAGTATCTTTCTGGGCTCCTGGACGTTCCTAGAAATAGAGCTTTCTGCTTACTTGCTAGAACATGAGATAGTCCAGCCCCCACAAGGTGGCAGCCACACGGGGCCACAGAAGGAAGAACTGGTAACCGCAGTGGCCTGTGAGGGGCCCACATGCCCCAGAAGGGTCTCCCTGTGGTCAGCGCAGACCCAGGGGTGTATTTTCTATTTGTTAAGTTTTTTTCTGCTTTCATCTCCCTTTTCCTTTTAATTAAGGGTCAACTCTGGTTCTCATGGCTTACTGTTTTAAAATGAAGGTTCATTTTTTTCTCTAACTTATAAAAGAAATTATACTCAATACAAGAAAACTCAGAACATGATTGTAAGTAAAAAGAAGATAATAAAGACCACTGGCCATTCCACAACCCACTGCTGACATGCTATGGCCTGCCTCTCCAAACAGATGCCTGCACGTACACCCACAGCACATGCACACATGGCACATGCACACGGCACACACAACTGTATTCTTTGCACAAAAAAAGGATTGTGGTTCAGAAGCTAACTTCACTCTCCATTTTAGCGCACAGTTACTGCATTTTTAATCGTTTCATAGTAGTTGGTTATATGGATTTATTATAATTATTTGACTCAACCTCAGTTGATTGCATTTGGGTTGACAACCCCGTTTCTCATTCTAAATTGCAGGGAATGTTCCATACACACTCCTCTGGGCACTGTGCTCATTCACACATCCTGACTGAGGGCTGCAGTGAACCAGGCCCCGAGCTGGGCCCCATGAGCCAGCACAGAATTTTCTTTCTTAAAAAGAAGTCCCCAGAAGTCCCAGGAAATTCAGAATTATTAGGCCTTTTGGTGCCTAAGTTGCCTCCCAGGAGGGTTGGAAGAGCGTGCACGGGCCTCACAGGGTATGTGAGGCCATCCTAGAGCCTTCCGGTCCGTCTATTTCCAGATGAGAAAGGATGCTTCATGAATGTATTTTCTGGAGTTTGCTTCCTAGCAAGGACTAGGCACTAACTTCCTCCACCAGAACTCACAGAGAAAGTGTTAGAGAAAGGAGTTCAGAGCAATTGGGCAGCCTCAGCTGCTGGGCACAGAGCCTGGTCACAGTGGTCACTCAGCCCTCTAGGGCCTGAGTGAGCAGGAGGAAGTAGCCGAGACAGCTGGCTGGGTGGTCTGATGCACCCTCCTTCTTGTCCCAGGTGGTGAAGGCATGCAATGAGGGCGTCAGGAAAATGAGCCGCACAGAGCAGATGATCAGCATTCAGAAGAAGATGGAGTTTAAGATCAAGGTGAGCCAAAGGGATGGGCGTGAGCCTGGGCCCATGCACGAGGCCCTGGCCCCACCCCAGAGGCATGGACCACCAGCCCGGCCGGCCAGGAGCCTTGGTCCTTGGCCACACTCAGGTCCTCTCCACTCACCCTCTGGGGGATGGGTGTGCAGGCTTGTGTGCAGGATCCGGAGCTGCCTGCCTGGGTTTGAATCCCACTCTCCTCTGATGGCTGTGACCTTGAGCAGTCACATGGAGTACATGGTGGGACTATTCCTGAGATTCTCAAATGGGAGGATGTGGAAGTTACCAACCTTCTCCCTCAAATTTTACATACAACCTCAGGCATTGGTGAGCCCCTGGGGGCTCCTGGGGCCTGGGTTTCTGGGGACTTGGGCACCTCAGCAGACAGTGCCCACCAAGGGTCCCTGGGTGAGGCTGGTGTGGGTGCTGAACCCCCCTCGAGGATGCCGACCTGGTCTCCTGGGCCCCGTGTAGTTCCATGCTGGCTGGCTAGGTGCCAAGCCTCTTCCCTGAGCCACATTGTTGAGTGGCCTTCCAGTGGCAGGCCTGGCCCCCCACTGCTGTGGGTCCCATTCTTTCCTCTCCCTGTGAACTTGACCCCTCCTCTGCTTCTGCATCGAACAGGCTGAGCCTGGCAGGGCAATAATGACAGATACCAGCCACCAAACTCACAGGTACTCACACAGTATACACAGGGCAGTGACCATACATGCACACATAAACAGATACAGGCACGCGTGGACACGCTTAAACACAGGTACAGGCACATGCACTTAGAAGCTCACATGTGGATATGCATAGAATACAGTACACACATGCACACCCACAAGTCCTCATGCACAGAAGCACACATATGTGTACACCACACACATGCATGCAGGGACATACATGCACATACAAATACACACAGCCCTGCCACGTCCCTGTGTCCAGGTCTCAGTCATGCCCCCCGCTGGAGCTCCATGTGTTGTCCTGGCCCTGAGCAGCCTGGAGGGAACACAACAGACCCAGCTCCAGGGGACCTCCAGGGAGGGCATGGAGGGCACAGCCAGCTGACACCCTCACCTCCCCCCCAGTCGGTGCCCATCATCTCCCACTCCCGCTGGCTGCTGAAGCAAGGGGAGCTACAGCAGATGTCAGGCCCCAAGACCTCCCGGACCCTGCGGACCAAGAAGCTCTTCCATGAAATTTACCTCTTCCTCTTCAACGACCTGCTGGTGATTTGCCGGCAGATTCCTGGGTAAGTTGGAGCATCAGGTACTCTGCTGGGCAGATGAGCATGCTGTTCATCTTGGGAGTGGGGGAGAGACACACCTCAGGCTTTAGGGTCTGGTTCAAAAGTCCGCTCTGCTGTTGGCTACCTTTCGCCAAGTTTATTTTGCCTTCCTGGGCCTTACTTTCTCTGCCTGTAAAGTGGGGGTTTTACTCCTAGGGCTATGGAGAACCCAGCTCAGCATCTGACACTAGTGAGGGCCCAGCAGGGCAGCCCCTGTGGTGTCATCAGGGGTGACCCCTTGTCCACCATCCACACCTGGGATGGGTGGCCCTTCTGGGATGAGGGAGACTGGCATTCATATGGGGGCTCCCAGAAGGAATTAAGAGTGGCCAGAGCTGTGAAACTGGACCTGACGACGGGGGCCAGGGGGCTCTGCTGGGACCCCCACAGTCCTCAGGACTGACAACCCTGCCCTGCCTGTCTTGGTCCCCAGAGACAAGTACCAGGTGTTTGACTCAGCCCCGCGGGGCCTGCTGCGCGTGGAGGAGCTGGAGGACCAGGGCCAGACGCTGGCCAACGTGTTCATCCTGAGGCTGCTGGAGAATGCCGATGACCGGGAGGCCACCTACATGCTGAAGGCATCTTCTCAGTGAGTGTCTCGCCGCCAGCCTGCCCACTGATGCCTACAGCCCCCTCACAGCGCCCTCCTGTGGCCTTGTTGCCCACAGTCCTGTTGCCAGGTGGGGCAAGCTTCCACGCACCCTGCGTGGGGCCCACCCTGCCCTTCCTTCCTACCCAAGAGCCTAAGGCAAGGGTTGCTGTCAGGCTGTGTCGGGGTGTGGGCTGCAAGGGGGTAGCTGTACAGTCCTGGATGTGTGTACAAGTGTGCACACACGTGTGTCTGTTCTTCAGGGTCATTTAGAACCCCTGAGTCAGGCTGACTTGAAAACCACCCTCCGCCGGGTGCGGTGGCTCAAGCCTATAATCCCAGCACTTTGGGAGGCCGAGCCAAGAGGACTGCCTGAGCTCAGGCGTTCAAGACCAGCCCGGGCAACTTGGCGAGACCTCATCTCTACAATAAACCAAAAAATAAGCTGGGTGTGGTAGCCCCTGCCCATAGTTCCAGCTACTTGGAAGGCTGAGGCAGAAGGATCCCCTGAGCCCAGCAGGTTGAGGCTGCAGTGGCCATGAGTGTGCCACTACACTCCAGCCTAGGCAACAGAGTGAGATGCCCACTCAAAAAAGCGAAAAGAAAACCATCCTCCTCCTCCAACTCTTGCCATGTGGCCTGGAGCCCCTTCCTTCACCTCCCTAAGATGCCAGGAGACTGGGCCTGCGGTCCCGGAGACTCGGCCTGCGGTCTCGGAGACAGGCAAGATGAATGTGGGGCAAGATGCCTTGTGAGCCATGAGCCTAGAGCTCACTTATGTCCTGCCGAGCTGAGCCTGCCTCTCCTCCCCTTGCATCCCCGCAGAGGCCTCTCTCCCACAACTAACCAGGTGTCCCTCCCTGTCAGAACCTGGGGCTCTAGTTGACACCAGCTGTTTGGAGTGGGGCGGGGGTGGTGTGGGGTGGGGGGAGATAAGAAACTGCAGCTTCTGTGGAACTGGCTTCAGATTGCTCTTACAAGTCAATCTGTGGGACCTCTTACTTTGTGGGCTCACCCTCCTGCCTGACTCTTTAAAAGCACCACACGGGGAGGTCATAGAGGGGCTGCCCCAAGCCTCTCTGCTGGCTTCTGGGTTGTGTCCAACCCTGGAGTAGCCCATTTCTGTGATCCCGCTGAGCCATCCTGATAAGGATCCTGAGTGGACACTCACTGGGCAGCCTTGGGGTGGGCACTGAGTGGACTCACTCCGTGTCTTGGGGTGGGGGTGTTCTCTTGCTCTGTGGTTGGGGCACTGTCCTCTTTCCTGTGCCAGGAGTGAGATGAAGCGTTGGATGACCTCGTTGGCCCCCAACAGGAGGACCAAGTTCGTGTCGTTCACATCCCGGCTGCTGGGTGAGTCACCGGCTGGGAGGGGGGCACCCTTTGTGCTGTGCCATGGCCTGCCTGATGGGCTCGGCTCCGCTTTGCACTCTGAGGGGGAAGGGTTCCCGAGACAAGCGTCCCAGCGGCCTGGGTGGGCCTCCAGGGAGCCTGTTCCTGCTGGCCTCAGGTCCCCACACTAACAGGAAGCTTGATACCCTACGAGAGTGTGGGTGTGCCTGGACATGGCAAACATTGGATGGTTAGTGAGGAAATAGCAGCCCGTGGGTCTTAAGAGACAGGACCACATAGACACCAGGAAGGATTTGGACCCAAACTCTTCTAGGGTTGCTAGTAGTCTGGAAAGCTGATAAAACATAAAAGAGCACAAGTCCCGCTGTCTTCTAGAGAAACTGCCCACCTTGATCATGCTCACCTTTGCGGGCCATCCTAGCACCGCCCCAGGGCCACATCCCAAGCACAGGAAGTTCTCTCCAAAGACTAAACGAAGATCACCTCACAGCCTATTAATCCCTCTATCCGTGTATCTTCCCTCAGAACTCCTGTTTTAATAACGTTTTCTTTGGAACCAAATCCTCCTCTCCCTCAAGCAAATCCCTTTTCCCTGGCTGCGGGAGCTTGTCTTCCTGTTTTAGACAGGGCTCAGGGATCTGCTGGCAGCGCCATCCCTACTAGCCCCTGGGGGTTTCCAGGGCTTCCATTGGTGCAGGCAGGCGGGTGATGTGGTGATGAGGACGCGCCACATTCCTCTCCCTCCATCAGACTGCCCCCAGGTCCAGTGTGTGCACCCATATGTGGCGCAGCAGCCAGACGAGCTGACGCTGGATCTCGCTGACATCCTGAACATCCTGGACAAGACCGAAGACGGTGAGGCCCGGTGACCTCCCCCCATGGTCTCCCAGGGGGCTCTGCACTGATTCTTACCCAGCCTGAGGGATGAGGAGGTGGGGGTCTCAGCCCCATGTGGAGAAGCAACTGTCACAGCTGGCTGGTGGGTGGGCAGAGCCCAGCATCCTGCCACGTCTGAGCTCCCTGAGATGTTCTGTCCGAACACCCGTCCGCCCTGGCTTCCTTTGGCCTTTCCTCAGGACCAGAGAAAGGACTCTTTTCAGGGTCTCTGCCTTCCCCTAGAGCTGTGAGGCTCTGCCTTTCTCCCCTGGCAGTGGTCCTAGCTCAAGTGGGTAGCTCTTTGTCAAATTCCCCTCAAGATGGCCCCAGCCTCAGCCCATCCCACTGGGGGCAGGAGGGAAGTTGACCAGAAATATCTTAATCTTGGCCCAACCGTGACTCTGACTCCAATCCCAGATCCTGCATTTGCAGCAAACTTCCAACTAAGCCATGACCGCCAAGCTTGGTGCCACATGTGAGCCAAGAAGCCACGCCACGGCCCCTGCCCACCCCTGCTGGTGGCATCAGCACCAAATGAAGTTCCTCCTAGCCTCTGCAGAATTTGACATTTATGTGCCTTCCTTTTAAAAATCAGATCCCAGCCAGGTGCAGTGGCTCACACCTGAAATCCCAGCACTTTGGGAGGCTGAGGTGGGAGGATTGCTTGAGGCCAGGAGCTGAAGATTAGCCTGAGCAACATAGCAAGTCACCGTCTCTACAAAAAGTCAAAAAATTAGCTGGGTGTGTTGGTGCAAGGCTGTAGTCCCAGCTACTTGGGAAGCTGATTGTGCCACTGCACTCTATCTAGCCCAGTCAACAAATTGACACCCTGACTCAAAAAAAAAAAAAAATCAGATCCCATGTTTCTACATTGATTGTTCCTGATCAAAATCCTCAGAGTGTACAAAAGCCTCTTTTCTCCTTCTGCCAGGTTGTGACCGGGAGGCCTCAGGCAACTTCCAGGAACTCCCTCGCATAGGCTGTTCCCAAAGTCCTAGGGGCTTCCTATTCTCCCTCCTACAGAATATAAACAGCCTAACTAACCCCCCCCCCAAATGAGACCCACAGGGGGCACGCCCCAGGCCTCTCAGACCTCAGGTCAGGACATGCTGCTGACCCAGGCACAGGTGCTGAGCACAACACAGTGACCTCTTCGGGAGGAGGAGGTAGGAAAAGCAGGGCAGGGAGAGAGCCAGGCCACTCCATGACTCCTGGAGTTGGCCAGCTCATGATGGCCACCCTCAGCTGACCACACACCAGTCCTCAGGAGGCTGAGACTGGGAGAAACTGCCCAACAAGAGGGTGATGTCACAGTCCAGGCCAGATGCCCACATGACCAGCTGCCATCCCCACTGACCCCTTGAATGCCTCTGGCTTTTTGGGGTGGCTCCCGGGTTCTCCTGGGCTCATGTGGGGCAGCCCAGAATTGCTGAGGGTCCCAGGATGGGTTCCAAAGTCAATGCAGAACCACCTGGCACAGGGTGCAATGGCTTCACCCCTGGGCCTCATGTGCAGGTGCCCATGGGTCCCTCCCCCCGGCCCCAGCTTATGGGAGTAAACTCATCTGAGCAATACAGCAGGGGAAAGGTTGCTGAACTCCTAGTGTCCCCACACAGATGGGAGCCGGGGGGGCCTCCACCTGGGCTCTACCCCTGCAGGAGTGCCTGACCCTCAGCCTTCCCTGCACAGGGTGGATCTTTGGCGAGCGTCTGCACGACCAGGAGAGAGGCTGGTTCCCCAGCTCCATGACTGAGGAGATCTTGAATCCCAAGATCAGGTCCCAGAACCTCAAGGAATGCTTCCGTGTTCACAAGATGGATGACCCTCAGCGCAGCCAGAACAAGGACCGCAGGAAGCTGGGCAGCCGAAATCGGCAATGACGCCCGGCCTGGGCCACCAGCCTGGCAGAGGGATGTGGGCAGGCAGGAACAGGCCTGGCAGGCAGCCCCAGCACACGGCGGAGGGCTCTGGGGAAGGACATGCCAGTGCCTCCGCAGGCAGCAGCATGAGACTCGGGGTGCCCACCCCTCAACCCTGCCCGCGCGGTGAGTGCTCATGTGTCTTGGCCCCCCCGCATACAAACTGGACAAAGGGAGCCCATGCCTCTCCTGATGCGTTTATAAACGGGAAAGTGTATTTTAAGCAGTATTACACCACCTCTCAAAGGGGGTGGAAGGGGATGGGCATGCTCCAGGGAACAGAAGAGGCCCCAGACCCAGGGCGTCCTGGCGGGGGACAGGCGGAAGGAGACAACTGCGATCCCTTGCACGCGTCCTTCCCTACCTTGGGAGCCGTTAGAATCTACCAGGCATGCAGATGGGCCACCCTTGCCTGACGGGGCTTGAGGAGCAGCCCTTGGTCCAGCTGCCTCTGCCCATTCCTCCCCAGGCCTCTGCCAAACTCTGGCTGCACGGCCAGGCCCTGCTCCATGGCAGGCCTACCAGAGCTTAGCTGAGGGCCCATGCCACCTCTGGCTCCCCAATGGGCTGGATGTCACTTGAGTCTTCTGGCCCCTTAAGGAGCCCAGGTGTTTTAAGGAATGAATTGGTCACTGCATCTTATGTTGGTTATGGTTCTGAGAAAAGCAAGTATCACTTCTGGCTGCATTAAAAGAAGCATCACATATAACACAAAGGAGATGGAGGACTACTTTTTATTGCCCTGGGGCACACAGGAATGAATTGTTTGGTTCTGGGCAGGATGAGAGGAGCACTCTTCAAGGCCAGGAGGAGGCATGCCCCAAAGAAGGGGGTAGAGGAGGCTTCTGGAGGAGAGAGCAGCCAGGGGCAGGCCTCAGCATGGGACTCGGTGTGGGCCTCCACTTGTGGGAGGCCCCAGAAACGGAAGGGCTATGGAGGGAGTTGGGGATGCCCTCCTGCTGCAGTGAGAACACAGCTTTGGAAGCCTGTAGAGGCCCTGGGCTGTCAGTGGGCAGTGGTCCCACAGGGGATCCCAGCATAGGCATGAATGGGGTGTGGTCACGGATGGGACCGGGACTTCCTCCTGCCTGGACCAGATGCTGGCCTTATGCACTGCTTCACACCTTCGGTGGTAGCCAGTCACCCAGAGGCTGCAGCCCCTCCCACCACCTCCAGTTACATCCCAGAGTGTTGAGGAGCCCAGTGTGCCTGGACCATGCTCTCTGTCAGGACACGCTTTCTGCCACACCAGAACAGGCCTTTGACTGAGACCCAGGAGGACTTTGCAGCATCTTCCCACAGGCCGCAGCTCAGCCCGTGGCATTCCCGAGACCTCAGGCCCTTTGAGAATCAGATGAATCCCGGCAGGTGCGCACACCTGCAACACTGTGGTTCCACTGAGAAGGGCTTGCTGGTCCCAATGAGGGACTTATGCTCTTGGGGCCTCGGTGCTGCACCCCTGGGAGGGGAGTACCTGCACCTGAGTCCCCTAGAAGTAGGGGAATAGAAAGAGGGGGCCATGTCTGATTCCTGAGAGGGAGGGGCTTGAAACAAGGAGTGGGGTGGCCATGGGGCCTAGCCTTGCCTTTATGAAGCTGGGAAGCAGCATGTCTAGTTGGGCCAGCCACTCTAATGAAGGCTTTGGCTACTCAAGTTTATGTAAAATGAAGTAATTTAAACTGTTATGAAAAGCAGTCTGTTTTTAACACTCCTTTATCAGCAGTAACTTTTAGCCCGATTACTTCATGGAAACTGCTGGAATGGGAAGCTGTTAACACAGACTTGGATGGGGCCTGCATACCCCCCATGAGAGGGGTGTGTGTACCACCTGGGCTCACCCAGGATCCAGGAGGAGAAAACTGGTCATGGCAGGAAAAGGTACCATGGGGTCCTCACGGACACTAAAGAGGGCCACATAATTGGTGGAGACAACTTCAAAAAGGAGGAACAGTTTCCCCTCCACCAGCACTCCCCCTTGCAAGGATGTTCATCTGCATTAAACTCTCCCCACGGGGTCTGCATACTTTCAGTTATTCCCCCCAAAGGTTTCAGGAGTGGCCCTCCACTGTGGCTCACACCCGTAATCTCAGCACTTTGAGAGGATTTGATAGCTTGAGGCCAGGAGTTGGAGACCAGCCTGGGCAACATAGGGAGACCTGTCTGCACAACAAACTAGACAGACATTGTGCCTGCAGTCACAGCTACCTTGGAAGCTGAAGCAGGAGGATCACTTGAGCCCTGGAGTTCATGGCGGTAGTGAGCACTACAGCCTGGGCGACACAGCCAGACTCCCATCTCTTAAAAAATAAAAATAAAAAATCTAAACGACCAAAGTTATGCTTCTGGGGTGGCCAGTATGGACAAGGCAGTTCCTCATCCCTCCGGGTGCACGCACACTCAGGCGGGCTGAAGGGAGCTGAGTGGAGCTTGGGATGGCGTTTTGGTTTTTTCCCAAACAAGCGAGCCCTCTCCCCTGTGGCGGCCTGGGGGTGAGGGGAGGAACAAGAGCAGGGAGCAGGGACGGGGCAGACAGCGGAGGTGGTGCCCCTCCACTCTCCTGCTTCTGGGGCCTTTGGAGAGAGGGGTTCCTGCGGGCTCTGGCGCTGTGGCCCCGGGGCTCTGAGCCCGCGGGTGGGGCCCGGCTGCCCGAGTCAGACTCAAAAGACGCCCCCGCCCCCCAGTCACAGCTCTGGTTGGGAGCGACAACCCTCCCCCCACCCCGGCCCCGCTCCC